TCCTCACCCGAGGATGTTTTCCCGTTGATTTTAGGGAGAGTGGAAGAGAGAGGAAAAGACAGAGAAAAACATCGATGTGAGACAAACAGATGGATTGGCTTCCTCCTGCATGAGCCCCTACCAGGGCTCAGGCCAGGGAGGAGCTGCAACTAAGGTACTTGTCCGGGACCAGAACAAAACCCAGGACCCTTTGGTCCACAGGTCAATGATCTATCCACTGAGCCAAACCAGCTAGGCCTGGCCATGAATGTTTTTGACCATAGAACAGGAAACCTGGCAAGTACTTGCCTCAGTTTACCCTGCAAAACACTAGGCACAGCCTACACAATGAGAGTTCCAAATCTTGGACACTGAGGCCCCAGGGGGGTGATCCACCCTAAGGTTTGCCCTCCTCCTCAGCAGCCTGGGGTGGCTGGCCTCCTGGTGCCCGGGTGGCCGGGGCAGTTCCCGCCTTCCCACGCAGACTGTAAGCCCAAAGAGAACCAGGACGGTCTATACCACGTGGACCTCTTTTCGAGGAAGAGAGGAAGTGTCCTCCCCCCGGCCCTGCCCCTGATCCACAACAAAATGGGGGAACCAAAATTCTAATGTTCAGCAACAGGTTTGGTTTGGTTTGGTTTTGAATCCTCACCTGAGGATAATTTTTCATTGGTTTTTAGGGAGAGTGGAAAGAAGAGGGAGAGACAGAGAGGAGCATCGATGTGACAGACTCATCGATTGGTTGCCTCCCTCAGGAGCCTGAAACCAAGGTATGTGCCCTTGAATTGAACCCAGGACTCTTTGGTCCGCAGGCTGAAGCTCTGTCCACTGAGCCAAACAGGCCAGGGAGGCACAGGTTTTCACAGTTCCACAGGTGTATACTCAGAAGCCAGCCCTACTGTGTTAGCCTGACCTTACCTCCCCCGGCCTGACCTCTTGCCCTCTCAGAGCTTGGGAGGGCAACACCTGAACAAAATTGGGGCCCCACCAGCAGCCACGGGGAAGCAAGTAACTAGACCTGCCACGTGGACACCTTGCTATGCAGAAGGGACCACTGCGGTTCAGCTCTCCACTAGGTGGCGACCTCCAATGGGAAATAACCATTTGTTATCAAAGATTAGCCTGGGCCAGTTTTGCTCAGTGGATAGAGTGTCCGGGTTAGATTCCAGTGAAGGGCACATGTCTGAGTTGTGGGCTCCATCAATTGTTCTCTCTCATCATTGATGGTTCTATCTCTCTTTCCCTTTCCCTTCCTCTCTGAAATCATTAAAGAGCATGAAATTAAAAGAAGATTTAATGGCTCTCCATCCTTTAATCCAGTGTTTCCCAACCTTCTCTCATGATGAGAATCACTTGGTGGAGTTGTTAAAACACAGATTCCTGAATCCCAACTAAGAAGTGCTAAACTAGAATTTTTGAGAACATATAGGTAAAATTGCATACCTAACTTAGTGCTCTGTATATAAAATCTGTCTTAGAGCACTAGTTAAGTATACAATTTTACCTATATGTTCCCAAAAAATTCTAGTTTAGCACTTCTTAGTTGGGATTCAGGAATCTGTGTTTTAACAACTCCACCAGGTGATTCTCATCATGAGAGAAGGTTGGGAAACACTGCTTTAATCCCCCTCCCCCTGACAAAAACTAGAATATGAGAGAGAACAAAACATAAACTTCAGCTGAAGATTGTCACATTGTAATTAAACCAGGAGGGTTCTGCCTTGAGGCCGCTCCAGTGTCCCAGGGGCCTCGCAGGCAAACCAAAATCTAAGCCTGGAAATGCCTCAAGATTACCACGGCCTTATGTACTACTGTGTGTAATACTTTAAACAATAAAATAAAATTATATATATATAAAACCACAGCAAATGCCAAGGACAGCCAATCACAAACAGCCAGCTGGCTGTCTCTGCCCCAATCCCTGCTTCCTTCCTTTTCTTCTTGCAACACTTTTCGCTTTTCCTTCACTCCTGTCAACATGGCCTCCTAACCACTTCTGGCTTGAAGCTGTCCAATCTGAATCCATTTTTGCGCAAATAAACCAGAAACATTGTTAATATGCCAGCAGCTCTGGCGTCACAACAGGTTCCCAAAGGAGCCTCTTCCCACAACAGCCTCAGGAACAAGGAGCAAGGACACAAGTACCTGCTGGGCCCTGGAGTGCCAGGTCTTCTCGTTGCCATGGGAGATGCGGGCAAGTCCCTCTGGGTCCTGCATCCCAGCGCCCTGGCCTCCAGGTTAGGAGCTTGCAGGCTGTATCTGAGCATCTCTTTCCGGACTGGTCCAGAAACTGCCTGGAATTGGCCTGGTTCCATACAGAAACCGAGCTGGAGCCCAGGAGACACTGCGTCCCTCTTAGAACCTGGAACCGAGGTGTGGGAGGCCTCAGGTGAATTCAATTTGGCTTTAGATTGCACAAGTAAGCCCTGGTGTTTGAGTGTCAACCAATGAATCAGGAGGTCAGAGTTCAATTCCTGTTCAGGGCACATGCCTGGGTTGCAGGCTCCATCCCCAGTGTGGGGGGGGGGGGGGACGGGGGGGGGGGGGACGGGAGGGGGGGGAGGAGAGCAGGAGGCAGCTGATCCATGAATCTCTGTCACCACTGAAGTTTTCTAACTCGCTCTCCCTTCCTCCTCCGCAGGGTATCAGGTTCCAGAAAGAGGTCCTCATCAGAAGCATGTCTCTCGGGAGCTTCTTTGTTCAAATAACCAGAGGATTGACTCACTTAAATAACACACACCCTCTTTCAAACCTGGTTCAGCAGATAGAGCGCCATCTCATGGAGTGAAGATCCTGGGTTTGACTCTGGTCAAGGGCATGTACCTTGGTTGCAGGCTCGATCCCCAGTAGGAGGCAGGCAGGATGCAGCTGATGGGTGTTTCTCTCTCACATATGTTTCTAACTCCCTCTCCCTCTCCCTTCTTCTCTGTAAAATCAATAAAAAATATAAATATTTTTTAAAAATGAGACCAACTACAAGTGTTTACCAGGAACCATTTCCCAGCCCTTCCTGGAGCTGCATGAGGAACGGGTAAGACTCCGCCCAAGCCCAGCCCTGACCATGCCATTGGACGCTCCTTTCAAACCCCTGGGAAGGGAGCCATGGTCTCTCTCAGTGCAGAGGCTGTGACTTCCTTCCAGTTCTAAGGACAGTGTGCCAATCACGGCGGGCAGCGAAGGGACATTTCCTAAAGAATGCTCCTACCACTTCTCACTCCCTCCCTCAGAGGGAAGACGAAGGGTCCGTTGCCCACAGATCGGATCCCACGCCCAGAGGCAAAGGTGCCATTGACCATTCTAGGGTCACAGGCAATGCCCTTGGAACACATATTTGAATAGCTCGACTTTTGCCCCAGGGGACATTTTTTCAAACACTGTGCTCTCAGAGACTTAAATCCTCTTTGAGAAGAAGCTTATTTCACCCTAGATAGTGTAACTCAGTGGCTGAGCATCGACCTAGGAACCAGAAGGTCCCGGTTTGATTCCTGACTGGGGGCTTGATCCCAGTGGGGATGTAAGAGGCACTCAATCAATGATTGTCTCTCATCATTGGTGTTTCAATCTTGCTCTCCCTCTCCCCTCTGTTCAGAAATCAATGAAAATAATTTTTTAAAATAAATAGAGCTTGACTCTCTTAACAAAAAATAAAGAATTAAGAGCAGATGGAGCATCTTTTGCAAAAATGAAGAAATAAAAGTGTAGAACTACCTTTGAAGCATTTTAAAACTCTAGTACTCATTTGATGTTGCTAAGAAATAATTATCTTTAAAGGTATACTATGGTTAGGCAAGGAAATGTCCTTTTTTTGGAGAATGATCTTGAAGTGCAAAGGGATGAAGGAACGTGATGTCTGGGGTTTGCGTTAAAGTTCTCCAGAGAAAGAAAACTAGAAGAAAAGAAGGAAGGAAGGAGAGAGAAAGTGAATGTGGCAAAAGCACGGTAACTGTTGAGTGCAGTTACGGAAGGGGATTCCTCCTGCTCTGCTGCTTTTGCACATTTGGGGAAGTGCATGTGGTGGAGAGGGGTTAGGGCCATGCCCTGGAAACTCAGGCTGGTTGTTTTTAGTGGGAGTTTGAGAGGGAGCTGTGAGAATCCCAGCAACTCTCATTCCCATGCAGTAGGTGTATAGCATTGATTATCCTATATGATAAAGAGGGAATATGCAAATTTACCATGACTCCACCACAAAGGAGGCGCCCACAGTGGAGGCAGGGTTTCCGTACACAAGATGGCTACGCCCACAGCATAGGCCAAGTTCCCATAAAGAGCCTTAATGAGCAATCAGTAAGACCTGAGGCTGTGCCCCTGTGGGACTGGACAGGGGGCCTCAGGCCATGCCCCCCACCTGGCACCAAGCTGGGGCGGCTCAGGCTGTATTCCCACCCAGCAGGGTTTCAAGGGGGACCTCAAGCCACACCCCTGCCTGGCAGAGCTTGACAGGGGACTTCAGGCCACTACCCCCGCCCTGCTCCAGATTGGGGGACCTCAGGCCATGACCCCCACCCCAGCTCCAGGCCAGGGCACCTGATGCTGCACCCCCATTCTGGCAGGGCTTGACAAAAGTGGGACCAGTCAGGTCTGGATCTAGCCCAATTGGAGGTAAGGCCAGCTGGGTCTGAGTCTGGCACAATTTTGAGGTGCACATGGGTGGGTGGGGACTTGACTCTGGGTCCCATGGTGGGCCCCAGACTGTGACAGAAGGAAGATTTTCATGTACATTTTACTAATTTTCTTTTATCTCTGACACTTCTATTATAGAGAATGGCAAATAGCAATATTAAAATATTTCTTCTAATTAATCCCTTTAGTGGGCACAAATTTTGTGCACCAGTTCATTAGTTTACTCAATAATAATTAAAAACCAGATTTAGTAAGACAGATGGAAAATGGTTTCTTTGGAATTTTTTTAATGAAAGTTCCTTAACCAATCGATGAGCCCAATTTGTACATAGCAGAATATGACCACTTGCTGCTAAAGATGACCTTCGTCATGGTCATAAGTCCTTGGATCTATTTCATGGTTACTTCACCTCCATAAACTGCTCATCATGGATTTGCAAAGATATGCAACTGGGAACTTTACACTTGGAAGACTGGGGGTACATTTGGCTGTTGGGGGGCTGCTTGAAAGAGATGGTAAACAGCCCACTGAACAACATCAGCAATGCAGCCAGAATCGCCAGATACACGGTGCTGCCAATCTCCTGCCGGTTGGGCCTGTAGGGGATGTGGAAGGAGGGTGGGAAGTCTATGCCCTCTTCATTCAGCACAGCATGGTAGTTACAGAGCACAGCGATGGCGATAAATGCACCAGCTATGATACTCAGGATTCTGGGAGCCAGGAACAGATTGCCGGGGGTGTCCTTCTGAAGATGTCCCACAAACACTCTGCGCAGGCCCAAGACCATGAGCCCTTTTCCCAGGAGACTGAGGAGGAAGGCTACCAGCAGCAGGTGCTGAGGGAAGCGGATATGCAGAGGCAGGTAGGCGTCACTGTAGGTGTAGCGGTGACACGCTATGGGGCTGGTCTGAAGGCCACTGGGCTGGTAAGTGCAGACCTTCCACATCCCTACACAGGCCAGCCCCCAGGAAGGGGAGGGGCTGTTCTCTATGTACCATATGCGCCAATTAGGCAGGCCCATGGAAACCATGGTAAAGATCCATCCCAGGATGTTGAGGGCGAAACTCACTGCCAGGCAATTGGCCTTGTCGAACAAGACCATGGCTATGTATCCAGGGGATCTGCAAACCAAGAGAGGGCATCATGAGCATGGGAACCATGACCTGGACCTGCCCCCTGGGGGTGAACGGTGCTATATTGGAGAGGGAAATGCCATATTCCAGAATGGAGACACTTGACCCCCATGCTCTGCTGGCAAAGGGTCCTTAGGAAAGATTTACTGAAAGCCTTAAAGTATACAGACTTTCACCCTGACAGGACAGTTAAGTGGTTAGAGCGTCTTCCCAACAGGCCCAGGTTGCAGAGCTCAATCTGCAACCTGGGCCTGTTCAAGAATCAACCAATGAATGCATCAGTAAGTGGTACTGGGCTCATTCAAGAATCAACCAATGAATGCATCAGTCAGTGGTACTCCAAATCGATGTTTCTCTCTCTCCCTCTCTCTCTGGCTCTAAAGTCAATCAAAATATGTACAAACTTTCAAATGGTCAGTTATACTTCTGGACCTTTGTTGAAAGACGCAATTAAGATTGTCTACAGCCCAGCCAGTGTGGTTGAGCATCGAACCCAAGAGGTCAGGGTTTGATTCCTTATCAGGGCACATACCCCCTGATGTACACTTGATCCCCAGTGTGGGGCATTCAGGAGGCAGCCAATCCATGATTATTTCTCATTGCTGATGTTTCCCTCTCTTCCTCTACTCTAAAATCTAGAAAAATATATTTTTACAAGACAAATCTTATATAAAAGGAAGGAAGGAAGGAAGGAAGGAAGGAAGGAAGGAAGGAAGGAAGGAAGGAAGAAAAGAGAGAAGGGTGGAAGAAAAGAAGGAAGGAAGGCAGGAAGGTGGCTAGGGTTCATCTCTCCTGTAAGACCACTGATGGCAGTTAACCTGTTCACAGAGCAAACAAAAGGATTAAATAAAGTGACGCCTCCCCCCCCCCCCCCCAGGAAATCTCAGGGCTTTTTTAACTAGGGGGAAAATAAAGTACAATCATTACCCAAGCAATACAAAAAGGCAGGAGGAGGATGTCTCAGAGGTACAAATGGTAGCCACTGCCAAGCAGTAACAGAGATAATGAAACCAAACATTCTCATGTTTCCATGGCACCCAGGGCTGGTCTGCAGGCCTGTGACAATAGTCTCCTTAAAGGGCAAGAGTCACAGAGCAGATCTTCAAGAGGTGAAGTATTGCCCTGGCTGGTTTGGCTCAGTGGATAGAGAATTGGCCTGAGAACTAAAGATCCCAGTTTCTAGTCTGGTCAGGGCACCTTCCTGGGTTGTGAAGGAAGGAAGGAAGGAAGGAAGGAAAGAAGATACACCTTGAGGATCCCCAGTGAATGCAGTGAGTGGAGTGCAAGAGGCAGCGGATCCATGATTTTCTCTCATCATTGATGTTTCTTTCTCTCTTCCCCTCTCCCTTCCTCTCTGAAATCAATAAAAATATATTTCTAAAAAATTAAAAATATACAATGTAGTTCCAGAGAGAAACCAAGATGGCGACATAGGTAAAAGCCTAACTGCAACCTCACACAACAATTTCAAAAAATACAACTAAAATATAAAGTGGACATTACCCAGAACTACAGGAAAGTTGACTGTCTGGAAATTCTACAACGAGGAGGAAAGAAAAAAACAGAAGGAAAGTCAGAGGAGCTGTAAAAGCCTAAGGTACAGAGACACACTGCGTGCGCAGAGAGGACGGAGCCAGAGAGGAGGGGCGGCTGAGTGCCTGGTTGGCGTTCCCTAGCGGGAAGGAGATAAAAGCTCTGGACTGTGCTGAATCCCAGTTCAGACTGCACTGAACCCCAGTTCTGGGCAGGACTCTGGGGTCCCAGGCTCGTACAGAGGAATTCTAGGCTATAAGGCGGAAACTCAGGGGAGCAGCAAAAGGCAGAGCCCCGGAGTCACACACATTGAGCGCAGAGGTCTGACTGTTGACTGTGCTACTGGATTGCCCTAGCGGGAAGGAGACAAAAGCTCCGGACTGCTCTGAACCCCAGTTCTGGGCTCACTGGGGGAGAGACTAGACTGTCTGGTAGTGGGCAAAACTCGAGGGCACCTTTCTCTCAGAGGTACTTGAAGCAAGTACCAAAGCACTGAGTACCAAAGGACACTGAGGAACACTGAGACTCAGGAACCTTATAGGGCGGGACTGACAGGAAGCCAAGGCTGAAGGCTCCACCCTGAAACTCCACCCCATCCAAGCTGAGCACAGAGGCTTTTGTGCATAGACACAGTTGATCCTCACAGCCAATTGGCCTGAAGGTCAGTTTCTCCCAGTGATACCAACAACAATTAAGACTTAACTACAAAAGGCTGTACACACAGTCCACAAAGGGGTGCACCAAGAGTGTCCACCTCAGATAACTGGGAGGCTGACCCACTGAACCATATAGGACACCTTAACACACAAAGCCACCCTACCAACTCAGGGAAGCAGCAAAAATGCCAAGATAAGAAAACAGATCACAAACAAAAGAAATGGAGGACAAAAAGTGACTGTATATAGAGTTTAAAACCACAGTTATAAGGTTTTTCAAGAATTTCATAGAAAAGGCCAATAAAATAAATGAGACCTATGAGGATATGAAAAGGGATCAACTAGAAATAAAGAATACATTGTCCAAAATAAAAAATATTAAACAGACTCCTAAAAACAGAATGGAAGGTCACAAGAATCAAGTCAAAGATTTGGAACACAAAGAGCCAGAGGACACTCCTCCACAGAAGCAAGAAGACAAGAGAATCCAGAAAGTTGAAGATAATGTAAGAAACCTCTGGGACAACTTCAAGCAAACCAACATCAGAATTATGGTGGTCCCAGAAGATAAGAGAGAGCAAGATACCGAAAATATATTGAAAGAAATAGTGAAAAAAAACTTCCCTCACCTGGTGAAAGAAATAGACTTGCAAGTCCAGGAAGCGCACAGAACCCCAAACAAAAGGAATCCAAAGAGGACCACACCAAGACACATCATAATTAAAATGCCAAGAGCAAAAGACAAAGAGAGAATATTAAAAGCAGGAAGAGAAAAGCAGGTAGTTACCTATAAAGGAGCACCCATACGATTGTCAGCTGATTTCTCAACAGAAACCATGCAGGCCAGACGGGAATGGCAAAAAATATTCAAGGTGATGAATAACAAGAACCTATAGCCAAAAATACTCTACCCAGCAAAGCTACCCTGTTTCCCCGAAAATAAGACAGTGTCTTATATTAATTTTTGCTTCCAAAGATGCACTAGGTCTTATTTTCAGGGGATGTCTTATTTTTCCATGAAGAAGAATACGGTACACATTTATTGTTAAATGAAAAGAAATTTATTACCTGTATATGATACGGTAGTATGGTAGTTGTCAACACAAACCAGACAAACTGTGAATCCTACAGTATCAAGAATTTACTAATTTAGCTGAGACCGGTTTGGCTCAATGGATAGAGCGTCGGCTGGGGACTGAAGGGACCCAGGTTTGATTCCGGTCAAGGGCATGTACCTTGGTTGCGGGCATATCCTCAGTAGGGGGTGTGCAAGAGGCGGCTGATTGATGACTCTCTCTCATCAATGTTTCTAACTCTCTATCTCTCTCTCTTCCTCTCTGTACAAAATCAATAAAATATATATTTAAAAAAAAGAATTTACTAATTTATTCAATGACAATCATGTCATCATCTTCTGGAATATCATCATAACAATCCAATTCCTGAATTCCCTGGTGAATTTCTTGTGACTCCATTTTTTTCAGATTCAGTGGACCAAATCTCTCATGTTTAGCAATAGCACTGTCTTTAAATGAGTACTTCTTGTCAAGGTAGCCTGCTCACAGTACATTTGCAATGCAACTGTCAGTGATTTTTCTCCCATGAATTCTTCATCCAAGTCACAACTTCTTGCAGTTTAGGTTTCACAGAGTTTCCATGCTGATTTCTGTCCATTCTATTTTCAATAGTCATTAATTTCCATGCGCAAATTGTCTTTGAATGGCTTGTTTATTGCAATATCAAGAGTCTGGAGATAGGCCGTCATTCCTGAGGGAATCATTATCTGATCTATTTTTCTTTCGTGAAGAAATGTCTTCATGTCTTTAGTGTGGTGAGTGCTGGCTGCATCCCAGACTAGCAGACCTCTTTGGCTCCCTCACATAACAAGCGGCAGCATTAAATCGACCCACTTCCTTATAACTGCTTGTGTGGCCCAGGCTTTTTCAGTTTCAAGAATAAAAACACCCAAAACATGTTCAATCTTTTCTTTCTTGCCCTTAGAAATGATTAAAGGTGGGATTTTAGTGCCATCCAGATGAATTGCCAAAATACAGGAAACACGTGCACTTTCCTAAGCAGTGGAGGGAATGTACACTAAGGAGGCACCCCGCTGTTCAATTGTTGTTTGAGATGATTGGCCCATAAACACTGCAGTTTTATCCATAGCAATCATGTTGGAAAGATTGTATTTAGAAAAGTCAGCATCATCAATAAAGGACTTGAATGCAAGTGCTCGCTTAATAACTTGAGTATCTTCCAACCTAAACAATGTTGTAGATCTTCTGAAAGACAGTTCACTTTGCTGAAGGAAATTATCCAGCCAGTGTTGTGATGCTTTGAAGTCTTTGGGGGCTATGTCAAACTGTGGTGCCATTGCAAGGGCAAATTCTTGAATCTGAGCCCTATTCACAACCAAAGCCTCTGCTCTCCTGTCAACAATCTATTCACAGATCAGGTCTTCCAGCTCAGAAAATAATGGTTGCCGACCTGATCCACGCTTATGCTTTTTAGCATTTCCCTTGTCCACTTGTTCAATGAGGTTACCATACTCTGCTCGCCATTTTCGGACCAATTGGATACTTAACATCTTCTCTTTGCAGAAAGCAATAAGATTTTGGCCCCAAGAGTCTTCCACGATTCCTTTCTTGTACTCCACGGAGTAGCTTTTTCTTTTTGCGCTCATTTCTAGGGGTAAAAAAAAGGAATTGGGGTATCAAGGTGGGGGGAGGGGGATCACTTAAAATGATCAGAGGGGGGAGTCAAAATGGCACAGAAGAATCAGAGGGTGATCACCATTTTAGTAACCCCTTTTGATCCTCCTGTGTCATTTTAAGTGATCCCCCCCACCCCTGTGCCACTGAACACCATCACCAGACATCCCCCCTACCCCTTTATCAGACATTTACCCCCTGGGGCCTGCTTGGGGACTGTCATTGGGCTTGCTGGGGCCTGGATCTGGGCTGGAGCAGGGTCTGTCACTGAGTGAGAACCTTCAGTCATCATGAGGGCGGCCGAGAGCATCAGGTAGTGTCACCAGAGACAGA